AACCGAAGAACTATGGATTCTTTCTCTTCGTCAACTTTGCAATAGTGTCTGTAGACAAAGTGATGGCCTGCTTTTGCCGGAAAACTTTGGTGAAATGGGATTAAACATAGACGCAAGATACCTTTACGTTGGAATAACAACAACGAAAACTTTCGTAATTCAATTCTAAGAGATATTTTATCCCTGAATTAGTTTAGATTTTAGTTCGTTCAACAATTGATGTGACTGTTGACAATGCCCTCAGACTCTGGATATATACATTGAATAGATAGAATTGTATGCAAACGTCTGAGACGTCACTCAAAGTTAACGGTGAGAACTAAAGTCTGGTGGTTGTTGTCTCGTGACTTGTCAAAACATCGTGCTCAGAATATCACTGCAGTATGTTAAATTCATCCTATGAGTATATGGATAGAGAGGATAATGGGAGCGAGATATATCGGTGTGAATCTCGTTAGGATGTCAGGCATCAGCCAACTGTCACAGTCATGCTTGCGCAAATGTTTTCCATGAATGTATGCGGAAATAGTTTACTATTTTCAATGAAAATCGTGAGAGTCCACATTCTGTGCACTCTTGTGGTGACCCCTAGTTACTATTTGCCCTTCTACTTTCATTATGCAAAAGCTCGTTTGAGATAGACTATAGCGAGTGTCAAGCTGTGTACATTGGCTAAAGTAAATGCGTGATTTCACGGGAAGAATCTCTGTAAAGAACACGCTTAATCTGTTTGTATTTCACGGGATGAAATGACTGCACCCGGAAAAATGCTTCGATTAAATCAAATAATAGTATATTTCAGCACGTGTGGGGCAATTTCGTCTTTAACGTGTGTGGGGTTTACAGCATGAGCCGAAGGTGAGTGATGTAACCACATACGTTAAGGACGAAATTTCCCAACAAGTACTGAACAAAATTTTATGTCACGAAGGCTGAAACCGGCTGAATTAGACACGAGACGCGAAGCGTCGAGTGTGTAATCCAGCCGGTTTCAGGCATGAGTGGCATAAAAGTATTTATTTAAAATGTTTTACTTGTTTCAAAAAAACAAGGATTTAATTATATCAAGTAAATAATTTATTGATTTTAAATAAAATTTTTATTAATTCAAGGAAAAAATTTCTTTATTCCTAATAAATCATTTATTAACATCAAATGAACAAGTTATTCATCATTTCAAATAAAGGGTTTTTTTATTTTAAGAAAATCACATGTATTTTCATGTATTTTGTGAAGGAAATTCGTAATTATTAGCGTTTTTGTTGCACCAAAAACCGTTATATACGACGAGGAAAATTTAACAAACATATTTGGCTCTGGTAATGGCAACGGAACGACGGAAGTGCACGTGTGTTTGTTTCACCTCATCGTCCGGAGAGATGACGATTTTGTTCCCAAACGTGAACATATTTACCAACACAACCCCGTTTCCGTAAACGAACCACATTGTTAGAAAAAAAAATGAAATTTCATGGACTACTAATTTTCAGGACAATGACACTGAATGCGATTTAGGGGAAAAAATTCATGAAATTTCAGGTTTCACTGAAAATTCAGTAAAATTCCAGAATTTCAAGCGGCTCAAAGACGAGAATTCCTTAAATTATTTGAATTTCCAATCTAATAGAAATATTCAGTGTCAAATTCCATTGAATTTTCAGTAAAATCTGAAATTTCATGATTTTTTCCCTTAAATCGCATCGAGTGTCATTGTCCTGAAAATTAAAGAATATATTTACTGGAATTTTCTGATTTGCTATTTATTTTCAGAGAAAAATGGAACTGCAATTCACAGTTCTCCTTGATTTTTCCACGAAATTCAGAATTTTCAATGACAAAATTCTGTGAAATTTCAGTGGTAATCAAATTCGATAAAAATTTCCAAAAAGTGTATCGGAAATTTCAGACAAAAATTTTTAACAGTGGATATGCCTATATTTGGGAACATGACGGGAACAAGACTGTATCACTTCGCCTTATTCTCCCCTAATAATTACTGTTTCTTCTCTTGCAATTTTTCTTAGCCCATTAGAATTCCGAAGCAATAGTAAATTATTTGCACCAAATAAATTTTTATTAAGCTCGCAGAAAAAAAGTATTTAGTTCAAATAAGAAAATTTTCTTAATATAAGAATAAACTTGGAATCTCCGAATCCGCCCGAAATGCACGGTTGCCCGTTCCCGTACTCCGCTCACCGACAGGGTTTGGTAGGATTTTTTCTCCAGAGAGTTAATGAAGAATAAAGACAAATTTTAATTTGAATAAAAACTTTATTTCGTACTATTTAAATAGACTTATTTATTTGATTCCATTAAACTTGATTTGATTCAAATCAAACCTGGTTGCACCAAGTCTAGTTAACAAAATCCTCAGTTAAGTTTTGGAATCGATAACAATAATCTGTCAATCAATTTTGATCGAAAGTTCATCAAAGATATTTCACCAAAAAACGTGGTGCATCGATGTATCATCGCCATTTTCCAGTAATATGAAAGCACTCATTTGTGACGAATTCCCAAAATTGGCTAACAATGGAATAAATTTACTCCAGACATGAATTTATTCTGACGATTTATTTCGCTGAGAGGGCTTGATGCAACCGACCCTAAATAATTATTCTGGGTTTGCTGGACAATCACGAGCTCATTTAAAGAATCGAAAAATATTTTTAACGGCGAGCACATCATTTTTTTGATTAGCCCAATGGTCCGCAGATTTTCCATTTCTTTGTTTGTCATTAGAATTCATGCATTGGTACTTTTGTTACGATCCACAAGTAATCTCTTTACATTCCTTTTTTTCTCGCGCGCGAAAGACGTTCTGATGCGATACTAGAGACGCATGTGGGTGTGGCAAAGTGACAGCTCTCTCGAGAAACGATGCTCAGTGCTTGGAAGACGAGTGAAATCACTACTGGATCGTTCACACTCTAGATTATATCGTTTATATTTAAATTTCGGGGAATCTCACGTTTGTTGTGTCGTGATTGCTTGTTCAAAGAACACGATTCTGGTGCTACCATCAGCTCGGAATTAATTCCATTTTCCTTATCCCCTCTTTCCATTCAATTCTATTTGAGAAAATGTCTCTTCATCATGGTGTTTAATGCCACGGGTGATTTGAATGTCCCGGGGCAATTAATTAGCTCCGAGTTACTTTGAATCCCCCAATGTTCAGTCCATCCTTAACTCCATCATTATTTCACTCTAACAATGGATGAACCTGTCTAGAATAGCCAATACTCAAGCAAGTTGGATATTTTTTCTTTCCGAAAAGTACCTGACTTGATAATACTTCGTGGAATTGATGAGGATGATTAACTAAGAGAAGGCGAGTGTGAAATAGCTGATGAGGTCGGGTATACCAACCCCCGGGTATCTCGGCGTTACTATGGATACGCCCACTACCCCACTAACCTATTGAAAGGGTAACCCGGAAGAGCCCAACTGGGGTATTCAAAAATTCTGATCAACATTCTCCTCTCAATGCGCTAGTTTGTACTGATATCTGCATCAATATATTCATTGCAGTTGGTAAAAATAACTCGATGTCACATGGAGAAAAAAATACAGGAAAAATCAGGGTGCTAGCACAGTAAAATGGGGCTATTTTGACGGCCCCAGGAAAATTCACGTGCAAAAAAAAATTGCCAGAAGCACGTATTTATTTGTATCAAGAAATTCATGGCTCAAAAATTGACAAGAGATCATACGCAGAAAAAAAAATTCATCAAGAGATTTTGTACTTGTCTGAAAGATGAGAGGCAACTGCTTCACGACAAGAAAGCGACTTCCCGAACCAAGCTAAGTGGTTTTGGAATTAAAATACATTTGATTTGAGATTAAAAAACTATTGAATCAATTGATTCAAACCTGATTGATTGAAAACCTTTTGCTGAATGTTTTTTTTTCTTTTGACTAGGGGGTTACGCTCCCGACATGACCCTCATATAGGCCCACATGACCCCTATAATCTTTATTCTGAACCTTATTTTGACCCCCATGACTCTTATTTGGACCTCTTTTCGGAATCCTTTGACCCTTAATCTGACCTTCATTGTACTCCTCGTGATCCTTCATTTCTAACCCTTAATTTTGCAGTCTTAATTTCGAGTATCAAATTTTCATCACCAGAAGTCTATTTGGATTTTTATAACATAGGAAGATGCACAATAGTTTTTCCGTACTGACCTTCACTTTTCCTCGTCCGGGGATTGGTATTGGCCCTTCCCCAAACTCGTAAAAGTGAAAATCACTACGGAAAAATTTCGTTCACAGCTAGTGCCATGGGTTTTTTTTTACTCGCGTTGGTTCTCCGTGTAGATTGATGAAATATGCATGCATGTATCATTGATATTAAGGATATGCAAGTACTTTGGCAATTTTTGTCCAGTGTAATAAATCTCTCGGATGTGATAAATTTATTCATATTCAGAATTTTACCAGAAATCGATTGCATGCGTAAAAAAATAACACTTCCGAAAGTTTAAACTATTTCAATTATTTATTTATCAACAACGAATGTGTAAAAAACTTTTTTTTTTTAAACGTTTTTATTTATTTATAAGCAACGAATGTTTGAAAAACAAGTCTGTGCAAAATGTAATTTCGATGACACTGAATATTCATCATTTTTTTCAAATTTTTCTCACGCAATTTAATTGACAAATTTGATGATTGAAATAGTATATTTCGTTACGAGTGCGGAAAAGAGTTTTTCACTCCTTCTGCTCGCTTTCTCGCCTTCGGCTCGTGCTATAAACCTCCCACGAGCCAAAAAACACTTTTCCCACGAGTATCGAACGATATTTTTCATCACAATGTGTGGAAAGGGACGTTTTAGGCAAGCTTCGCGTGCCTAAAATTTACTTTTTCGCACAGCGTGATGAAAATGGTTAAATCTATAGTGCGGTCTGTACCAAACTGCAAAGGATACTTGGATATTCTCAAGGAAGGAATTCACCAACGAATTTCAATGTAGTATTCAACTTTTATTCCGATATATACACATCATAATTTTACATTTCAATATACATTCAAAACATCACTCTGGTCTACATTTTATCATCTCCTCCTAATTGATTATGTACATGTAATCTGCCCTAACTAGACATTTAACATTGTTAGTCGAAGGAATTTTAAAAATAATCTTATCCACTGAGATCTCGCATTTGTAAACGTATAAATGTAAAAACGCTTAACGCAAACATCGAAATTCACTTCATACCCTCCGTTTTCTTTCTGCACTAATTCCAAAAGCTCATCATTCGAGTACCTGTCATTTTATTTCTGCACCTGTCATTCAAGTGGTCATCCATTGACTGACAAATGATTTGTTTTCATGCGCTTATCACTGAACGGATGCTCTAGAGCACCGAGTGTACCCTACTGAAACATTTCACCTAAAACATTCAAAATTCATATACGATACTACCAAATAACAGCCATAAATAATCTAATGATGCAGGTATTAATACCGAACGTTAACACTGAACATTTTTAATAATGTTTTTTTTTTGTTTATGAGTACCAATTAATGAGCATTATACGAACACCTGTTTAATTGTTATAATAATCACGTAGTTAGCACTCTTGATTGTGGATTTGTGTAGCTAATAACCAATTTGCCCAGGCTGTGTTGTCCCGGAAGATACTATTAATTAATTCGATTCAGTCTTCTTTGTTTGTTCTTTAATTCAAAGCTTTTGTGTTATCTCCAATTTGTTCTCATCCCCTCCTGATTTTTGTTCATCATCCCCAATTCCTTTTACTTTTGTTTTCCTTTCGCAAATGGTACGAGACTAAAAATTCGTTTAATCGTTAATCGCATTTCACTGTTATAAGAGCATGTAATAATCTGGCTATTTTTCAATATCCCTGTTTTCATTTCGTAAATTGTTCAGTGAATGTATATTTTCGGACATGTCAATCTGACTCATCCCCACAGATTAACATCTGTACATAAATTTTCTACAAGAATATATATTTCAAATCACGGCCACTCGTGGTATTCTTTCAATTCAATGTATGATTATAAATTGACAATCTCTAATTTTGAGATTCATGGTCTCACTCAACACTGGGAATATTGAATATTTACATGGTCATGAAGTTGTTTCTTTCAATGTAAACGATCCACTCGGTTTATCTTAATGGTCCACGCAGAGTCATGCGGAATTAATGGCAAGTAGTTTTGAGGGGAAATGTGAAATAAAAATATATTGTTTTCCTGACTCACGCATCTCTGGGCCAGAATGCATTAATTCTTTAGGCCCGTAAGTTATATTAATTGTCAGTAACATCAAGCTTCACTGACTCTCAATGAATAAAAATACATATCGATTGAGTTATTATTGTCTCTACAGTTACCGCACTCATCTCATGAATTTACATTTGTTCAGAAAAATGGAACACATCGGATACTCAAAATGAATACAATTATGGGAAACGTACATGCCAAATTCCGTGATGTTTTTTAAATTCTTGAGTAGTTAATCACTGTGGCAAGCAAGGGGGAGGAAAAACACATTAAGAACAAAAAAGGAGAGATAAAATTTTCATTGAATCACAGAAATAGCCGGCTGAATTTAATTAGAATTTTTGGCACAAAAGCTGGTAGACTGATCGAGTGAATTTTTATCACTCGTGAGAGGTGAATAACGTCTGAGGATTGAACTCCTATCATCAAATAATGCATTATCAGTGGGTACAGTGAGTGTGGCAAAACTCAGCTGTCTGACCTCACTCATTGGCTTAATTAGGCAAGGTTCACTCGATGATTTAATTATATCTCACATGGAATCAGTTCCAAACGTCGTTAGGTGCTGCGAATCACCGATATTTGAATCACACTGCATGACCCACTCCCAGATTCTCTTTGTCACGACTTTCTGATCTACAGCTGTCTCCAAGCCATAGCTGTTGAGTAGTTTACGCAGTTTATTCTTATTCTCATCGACATTGAGCCTCTCATCGACAATTGTATCAAGATAGAGGAGACTGTCGGCCCTCCTTGCTATCTGCGTGTCACTGACTTCAACGGACGTTGATGTTGCACTGTGACTCAATTTATTCAGGCACCATGTATCCTTCAAGTACTTGCTGATCTCCGTTATCACTGCTCGTTTTTCCGGCTTGTGCTCGAATACACGTCTGAAGTATCTCAGCAAACGCGGTGTAAATCTACGGAATGTATTTGGGATTTTAGTAGTACGTCTCTTCAACCATCTCTGGAAAGCCGAGTAATCAGGATCCTGTATTTGATCGGCACTCTGCCACGGTGGATTACCAGTCAAACAAACAAACAGCACAATACCAAATTGCCAAGAGTCAGCGCTGCGTTTGCACGTATATCTCTCATTCTTGATGACTTCATGAATTTCAGGTGGCATAAATGGCACCCAGGTGCCACGTATTTTACTGACAAGTGTGCCCTCGCGTTTGATAGATCCAAAATCACATAATTTAATCTTGGACATGTCTTGGGCAAACACCAAAATATTTTCCAATTTGACGTCACGATGTGCCAGTTGTTTTGAGTGAAGAAAATCAAGGGCAGATGACAACTGTCCAGCAATTCTCTTGCACACATCCTCACTCAAACCACCGGCTCTTACATTGCCAGCTAGATCCCCAAAAGGTGCAAATTCCTGGGCGAATATATAACACTTTTCAGCCTTGAACGCCACAGCATAAGAGCTGAGGATATTGGGATGTGGGCTGAGATGGTAGGAGTAGTGAAATTCACGGAAGAAATCCTTCTCAGTGGTGAGCTCTTGATGAACAGCCTTCAAAACAACCCGCGTTTGTGTTCGCCTGTGAGTCGCCAGCAGAACTTTTGCAAAACTTCCCTCACCCAGAGTTTTCTCTACATTATACTCCTTTGTAAGATCAATCTCCTCCAGCATTACCTCCTGAACTTTGTGAATGCTCGACTCCTTCTTCTCATGCAATTTCATCTAGAATCAGAAACAGAGAAAACTATGTTATTGTGGATTATTATGATCCTGTCTCGGGTAAATTCCATGGTCCATTTGACTTGCGTCAGCTCTGTGACCTTTCCAACGGTTCAACCATTGTGCAATGAATTACATCGGCTTACTCATGCTCATCGCAGGAATATGGCAGTATAGGTGAGAGCTTGTGTATCTTAATACATTACGTCAGTTACTGCTTATGTGTTCATCATGGTAGATTTAGTGCTTAGTGAATGTTCGTGTCAATTATGCGTCCCCTTCAAAGTTGAGACTGGGATTTTTCACGCGCTTTGAGATTTACATTCGATAGATTATTCATGAAGACTATTTTGAGGATTAATAGCGCTCGTGGAGGAGCTTTACTGATAACTATTGGGGTTAGTATGAAGATAATATCGGGAGAGAGGAGATGAAAACGGCTCGGAGGAAAAGGGGCATCAGATAATTCTGCTGAATCCTGGAATGAATCTCATTTACGGAATAGGTCCGAAGTTTCTGTCTCATTAGAAGTTTCCGATATCTCGAGTGATCATCATGAAGGAAGATTATGTCGAATGGGTTCCTCTGACAACCCTCATTGCTCAAATCTCTTCGCGGAAAACCTATTCTTAGACGGGAGGATATGTAATCGAGAATAATGCCTCCTTTAGTAACACACTCAATTGTGAGAAGAACGGAAATAGCATTCCCCTGAAGGGCGAAACAATGCGGAGAAATCTCGAGTGGCAACTCCCTGGATTTATACCTTTTTGTCTTTTGTTCGTATACAGTCTATTGAATTTCACAGTAACGAACGATAGAAACCCTCACATAAACCAGAACTGTTCACTACTGTCAGTTAACCCGATGCTTGGAGTCTGACGCCTTTCCCGAAAAACGTGGGTGTATTCCATTAAAACTTTGACGAAATTCAATTGCAGTCAATAGCTATGCAGAAAAATACAGTGAAGGATGCTTTGGCATTGATAGCTTGTTTTTTTTCAGAATGGTATTAGTGATTCTCCGGAATTTTCTCGGTCAAATGTGGGTTCCAATCGCAATTTTCTCGGTCAGCTAAAGGTTACATTATTGGAGTTCTTGAGATATGTGTTATTCAGCGGAGAACGGTCAGGAATTCTTTTTTAAGGGGAGGCCGCGGTGAAATTTAAAAGACTTCACTCGGCCTTGAGAGCCATTGGACGACTTTTGGTATATGAAGGCATATATTAAATGTAAGAAAAATTTCGGACCCGACTCATTTTGCCCCCTTATATCTACCAAAACAGCATTTTTCACGTCATTCAAGCTTAAAAATGCTCCTTGCCCCTCAGTTCTCATCCAATTTCAACTTTTTTAAAAATGATCTTTATATCCGCCAACGAACAAACCCAATTTTCCGTTTTACTTTATATGTATTAGATCATGAGAAAATGATGTTTTTAGTTTTTTGTTATTTTTCCTCCTTTTAGCAAAGCTAAATTTTGTAACAGCCCATATTTTTTTTGTCATAAGATTCCGATTACGTATTATGACAAAGTTACATGAAATTTGTGTATATTTATTTATTAACGAATCAGTTAATTTCTTGAATATTCAAGTAATTCTCGATTATCAGGTCCATATGGCACTGAAAAACCTTGATAATTTTGAAAATTCATGCAACAACTTTTCTTAATTCGCAATCTATTGAAAATTGATTTGTATGTGATGTTCAATTTTCACGATGAGTTTGGAAATTCAAGCTTTCATTGAAAAATCAATGATTGTTTCACATGAAAAACCCAATTTTCGTGAATTTTCCAGATGAATGAGAAATTTAGTGAACGCTTTCATTTGAAATGGAATTTAGCCTCATAACATTGAAAATTGAGATGACGCTGTGACTGAAATTTCAAGAAATTTCGAACAGTGTGGGTTTGTTCGTTGAAGTATAACGAACATTAAAAAAAAAGTTGAAATCGGATGAAAACTGTGGTGCAAGACGCATTTTTAAACTAACAACGTGAAAAATGATGTTTTTGGTGGATAGACGGGGCAAAACGGTTCCGGTCCTAAATTTTTCTTACTTTTCAATATATCCCTTCATATACCAAAAGTCGGCCAATAGTTCCTAAGGCCGAGTGAAGACTTCAATTTCACCGCGGTTTCCCCTTAAATTATTACTCAATTTTAAATTAATTTCTTCGAAGTTGAAACGATTAGTCTTCAGGAATTGAATGCTTCGATCTGAATGAAAAATTGATTTGAATGTTTGACTCTTATGATAAGTCATAGCCACTTAAATTGAGGAAAATGTTACATTCTTCTGTTTGAGAATATCATGGCAGAGAAGGTGAGTACTAGTATCAGAAAAATTTTACCCTAGAGTGCAAAAGAGAGATTTATTTCGCTCCAGACGTTTTCGAGATAAGGACGGAAAACTTTCCATTCAATCAAATTGATTCATCTAATATCTCTGGAACTATTGAGCCAAAACTGATCGATTTCTTCATTTCAATTTGTGAGACAATTTAAATCTCCTTTCATTGATATCATCTATCACCTTCAATGTCACAATGTTATCGAACAGGAAGAGATGCCCTTGGATTAGAGACGATGCTCTAAATTTATGGAAAAATGCTTTTAATTGAAGAAGAAATTTTTCACTGGGTGTTAAAAGAAATAGAGCATAGGGGCAAGTGGGCCACAAACAGGGATAGCCAAATTTGTAATATTTAATTACCGTTAAATATTGTAGCCATCAATTAGCTAAAATTACTCTTAAATTTTTTGAATACTTAAGTATCATCAATTCAAATATTCAAATTTTTAACTATTTTAGCAATCAATAATTGAGGTAGGAAGATTGATGATTATTTGTGTAATCGGAAAATCTCGTTTAAGAAATTTAAATTATTCACTTGGTGAGAAATTTACAGTTTCACATTAACAAATTTTGAATACATCATAATTCGAAAAAAATCAGATTATTAATATTATATTATTTGAAAAATTAGATCAACATATTTTAAACCTTCATTAATGTAAGGGTCAAATTCTTGTAATATCACAGAAATTTTATATTGATGGCGATCCCTGGCCGAAATAGACACTCATGACTTTTTTAAAAATCTTAAAAACTCATTGAATTTTTGATGGAATAAGATAATTTTCTTTCTTTAAAAAATTCAATTCTTTCACTGTGTGATGAGTTTAGACTGTACTCAATTGATCTATTAATTTAAACATTCAGTTATAAACATTCAAAAAAAAGTAAAGTGTCCATTTCGCTCTACTCTCCGCTATAAGATCCTCAATCCTTTAAATAGAAGCAATCTTAAGTTTTCATCAGTATTAATTGTGCGTGCCAGCGAAAATCGATACTCCAGTAGAACTTGGAGGGTCTTGGTTGGATGGCTTCCAGATTATATTTCATTGAATTTTCGTGGGAATGGTATCTGAGACTCGGATAGTATAATGCGTTGAATTTTCTTCCCTTGTCTTGCGCCAAAGAAACGTCCGCATTATAGTGTAGACTTTAATGTGAAATAGAATGGACAGAATGTCAAGTAGAGTTATTGGTATATCGGGGGAAAATATAATTAAAAATAAAAAAAAATCAATTGCTCAGGGTTATTGATACTGGATTTCTGTGGCAGGAGGTCATGGATCTTGGTGATAACCCATTGTTCTCGACATAATGCCGTTTATGGGTCACCGGAACAGGCCAATAGGCTAATCTTGGCATCGATTGTACCCGGGGTTTCTGTACCTAAAATGCATTCATCGTAAATTTTGAGTACTTCCTGCATATTGATTTCACGATTATCAATTTCACGTTTGACCTTGGCGTTATTTCAAATATGAAAAATATGAGGCAAATAATTCTGTGGTTCGAGGTTGAGTACAAACTATTGTTTTTACTGTTCAATACGGATGATAGTATAGCTAACAGGTTGTTTTCGATTTATTTTGGGATCTAATGGATTAAATTAAGTAAATTATGGAGCAAATAAATAGGCGAGAACGGGGCCTTCAGTTTTTTTAACGTATTGAGGGTTGTTGCGGCTAGCTGCCTGAACAAATCAAGATATTCCAAGGGTAAATTCGTCTGGGATCCAAGTCTACTTATTATTGGCTAAGGTCAAGCATAAAAAAATATATTTAAAAATTCTGCAATCATTCCTACAGGTGTGTTACATGCACCAATTTCATTAATTTGCGCCCTGCCATCGATCAACTCCGATATCATTCCCCTGCGGGCAAATTACAATTCTCCGCTAATTCATCAACAGATGAGGTCTCATCGCGCTAGCCATTTATTGAATAAATCAAGTACATGACAGCCAACAAACGTATATTTTCGCACATCGCGTTTGTTCGAGAATTTTTATTGACCAATGTGGAGCCACACTTTTCAGTAAATATTTTATGGAATCATAAAACTGCCGGGATAGCAATAAATCTCAAAGTTACATACCGTGAACCAAGTTGTTCTTCACTGGCCAGATAAAACGAGAGCTCTCTCGACACGTAATGTTCTTCTTATTTTTAATATAAAATATCCACAATTCAATGTTTAATGATTGTCAAACTCTCTTAAAATCGCTCGCCCGATTTCTTGTTTACATTTCTGAAAATCACTCGCAAAAGTTAATTATCCAAGTAACTCTCCATTGATCTCCAAATATCATCGAATGTATTTTACTCCCAACACTTGTTTGATTACGTTTTATCAACAATATGACGTTAATTTTCTCGCTGTAAATGATTCTTTACTCTCTTGTGGAGAGCGATTACATTTTCACTGTTACGCGTATCGTCGCGTCTGAAGCGTCGTGGTGCCTGGTGGTGCTTTTATAGAGCCGATGGATTTCGCGCAGTCGTGGAAGATTGGACCACTGCTGCTGGCTAACCCATGAGTCTGGCAAGGGCGGTGTTTTTTTTCTTCGTCACTTCATCCTTTGAAGCATCCCTAGGTTCATCTCTCTCGAGGATAATCTCTTGGATCGTCGGTTAATTATCAGTTTCCACACAAAAACAAATTCATTCAAGCCACTACTCAAATTATCCATGACGTAGATAATCCGCCATAGATAGTGCTTGCTCAATTATCTATGACGAAAGGAAACTACTGACGTCATTAGTGCTAGCCGTTGATAATGAGTTCATTACATTCAATTGCTAATGATAACAATGAAATTGCACATTCATTTCACACGCTATTATCTCGTCATCATCATCAATATCACCATAACATATTGGCGACGAATTTTGTCGTGGAAGATTGGACCACTGCTGCGGGGTGTTTTTTTTCTTCTTTACTTTATCCTTTGAAGCATCCCACACGGAGAGAAATATTCAGTAAAAATTACGGAAAAATTCACTCACCGATTACGGAATCAACTCAGAAAATTTAAGTGACGGTATCGTAATTTTTCACAGGAGATTCAGGTAAAAATCACGGAATGCTCTGGAAAAATTCCGTGATAGTTCCGTAAAATTTCCTACAACCACATTGCGCTCCTGAATTATGGAAAAGATACGTAATTTTTGTTGAATATTTCTGCGTGCAAGGTTCGTCTTTCTCGAGGATAATTTCTCGGATTATCAGTTAATGATATCCAAGGACTGACTATTTTTGCTTCCGAATGGAAGTATTGTACACGGAGAGATATTTTTTAGAAAAATTCTAGTGCTAGCACGGGAAAAGCGGCACAAAGTGACGGCCAGGAAAAAATTCCAGTGCCAGCACTAGAAATTTTATTGGGGAAAACGTGAATTTTTCCCGGTATTTCTGTGAAAATTTCCCCCGAAATTTTACCAGAAATACCAAGAAATTTTACCTTAACAGCACTAGAATTTTTTACAGCCGGTGGATTGTGATTTTTTCCAGTACTCGTACTAGAATTTTTATAGAAAATTTCTCTCTGTGTATTCGTCGGATTTTGACATTCTCTAATTTTGTCGGAAAATTATGTAGAATGTTATTTACGATGGGGAAGGAATTTTATTCTCTCCCAAAAATGCCGCAATTTTTTAAAATTACGAGCAGTTTCTGTAAATAATTTATAAACAATAAATTTTCCACCAGAAAAATCATTTGTTCGGAATTGTAACAAATTTATTCATATTCAGAATTTTACGATTACCAACAATTTCAATTATTTATTTATAAACAACGGCTGTTTAAAAAAATAATAATGCTGTGCAAAATTTGAATGACACTGAACTTTCGCGATTGCTTTTCATATTTTTCTCATGCAATTTAATTGACAAATTTGATGATTGAGAATGGTTGAATCTATTGTGTGGTATGTACTAAACTGTAAAAGATACTTGGATATCCTGAATTATCAGCTTCCACACAAAAATAAATTCATTCAAGCCACGACTCCAATTATCTATGGCGTAGATAATCCCTCATAGATAGTGTTTGTTCAATTATCTATGACGAAAAGGCACTACTGACGTCATTAGTGCCAGTCGTCGATAATGAGTTCATTGCATTCAACTGCCAATGATAACAATCAAATTGCTCATTCACTTCACATGGTATTATCTCACTGGCATCATCGCAATCAACATAACATAAAGAATTTGGTCGATTTGGAATGGATACCATATGATATGCTGCAATTGATGGGAATATTGAATGTGACAGTGCTTGAAAATAGCAATGGGTATTAACGTTATTTCCAGTCGGAAGCACTTCGACATTCGGAAACGTGATGTGCACGCGTTTCCACATGGTGTGAAATGCTTCGCACAAGTGACAACGGACTCCCGCGAACTATACGTCACGCTGTTGATTGTTATTCGTATCGATTCTAAAAAATTTCCTGCGTTATTCAAATTGGGTCCAGTTATTTTTAACCACTTTAATTTTCGCTTGATGAATTTCTTTGCTCACTGGAAACCCGACGATGTCGTTGACCGGTGAGAAGTTGATATAAATAACATTTTTTCCTACTCTGTGATGTGTAATTTTCAATTGGAAAGGCGATGAGACACACGTCCAATGTAGGTGGATGGAAACGTAGAGCAGGGGTTGTCACTTGGGGGATGTCTAGTAAATTTTATAGGGGTATGTTTTCACATGTTCAAGAGACAATATTGGCAGAGGTAAAAATAGCTCAAGCTATTTCCCGCTGGTTGGAGTTGCGGAATATACATTGTCATTGTTACAAGTGGTTAGCCATTATTTCCGAAATACGGATTCCAATTTTTTTAAACAAAGGATGAATTACAATACTACTCTTCATTATGTTGCGTACCGTTTTTTTACATTTCATTGGAACTCTGGTGGAATATAAATCGCTTTCCTCTTCCAGTGATAGCCCACACTGATTTAGCATTCACTCTCTCCTCTCTCCACATCTGGACCGGTAATTGATCGTTCCCCTACCGAGAAAACGAATGTGTTATTAAGAAAAAGTGCGGGAAAAATGGTATGCGAGGGAAAATTAATGAGCCATCTATCTTCGAATTTCCAAGAAATTCAGATGTGCTACAAAAATACTCAGCTCTGTTATGAATTCGAATGAACGATCAATTTTTTTTTGTTCAGGTTGACTTCTTCTTCTCCGTGGCCTCATATTTCGTAGATATATTTGTTTTGTACTTAAGTTACATCAGATTAACTTTTACGCTGGAATTGAGAGGATACAGTTGAGTGTAGGTGTAGGATAAATAACCATAGGTGAGTGGGTAGATGCTCCTCGATATGTTCTATTTAGCGTGACGAGAAGTCACCGAGGATTTTCAATTCCTTTATCGTAAAGTGAACGAATGGTGGAAGTTATTATAATGCGAAAAAGACCTCCATTATTGGGAACTTATCAGTACTAACGAGTTGTCTATTAATACTCGACTTTATGAATGGGGATCAATGAATAATTGTGCATCGCTTTTTAACCATTTTCCGTTGTGTCAATTGACGTGATTATTTTTCCCACTCTGATTTCGACCAATCAAAGCGCAGTATTTGAGACTAGCCGACAGTTTTATTCCGGATAATTCCTCCTAGCTTTTGAATATTTTGCAGTAGCTCTTCATTTTTTTAACCTGAATATTTCGCAGGAGCCCTTCATCTGCACTGATGGACTGATTCATTAATTCCAAACGAGATTCGTTAACTATTAACGAACGGTAGAGTTGAATATGACCAAATGAATATTCGTTAATAGTTAACGAATGGTTCACCTGAAAGGTGAAAATCGAGTCAGCCAAGCCTTCTTAAATGTGCATTTGTCAACTATTAACGAATGAGCAGTTGGCGAGATCAAATAGACTCTCGTCTCCAACTAGATCCATTCGTTAATAATAACTAATCCTTTTTATCAGTGTGTTCGGCTCATTTCTAGATCGAATCTTCTCTTTGACAGTCTACAGAAATCAGGTTATTCTATTAACATAATTTGTTCAAATCTTCCCTAATTTACCTCCTGATGTTGTGCAGTGCACTCTGCTTGGTCAAAATTCGATTGCGAAAAATAATCCGACAAATAGCCCTCGATCTTCAAAATGAATCAGGTATTTTCCTCAAGCCCCCCCGCAAACAAACGATCGTGCCAAGTCTTGCAGAAAAATCCTTCGCGCAAGCGCTCGGGATTTTTTAACCTGCAAAACTTGACACCTTCATTTGTTTGCAACGAAGCTATCGGGAAATACCCGATAATTTTGAAGCTTTTGGAGTATTACTACAATATTAGATTCAGGTAAAAATTATTGAATGCGCTAGAAAAATTCCATGACAGTTCCGTAAAATTTCTTACAACCACATTTCGCTCCGGAATTACGGAAAAGATACGTAATTTCTATTGAATATTTCTCTCCGTGTGTGAAGGTGGCGACCCGAGGCGAAGCAGAGGACTACCAATCACACGAACTAAAAATTTTCGTCTCACATTTGTCGAACAATATTTTTCGTCTCACGGGACCAGAAAAACACCAATTTCGCTTGCTCTGCAGGAGGGATTTATATTTATTTGGAGTTTAATTATTTGAATCTCACTCGCTTTTGGCTTGATTTCCATGCACGCCAGGGTTCTTACTCGTTTTTATTCACTTCATTGCTGCTAATTCTTGTTACTGTTCCAGATTGAATCCTATTACATTTCCTCCCGTCCTGACCTGCTCTTGATTACTGCATTGCTTTGCTTCAACACTACGCGTCATGCAAGCTGTTTCATTATTATTATTGACATTACTTCCTCACAACCTCAAGCTCATACATTTTTTATTTTTATTTTTATTTTTATTGCTGTTATTACTATACCAATTTATCTGGCAATGTAAAGCAGAACCTCTGCATTAATGAATTTATGTATTCAAGGATGCAAAAATAAAATCCTACTCCTACTACTATTACTATAATAGTAGATTTCGATTCGAGTGAGAAGGAATTTTTACGAGTGTGAAGTAGGCGGCCCAAGGCGAAGTCGAGGTAAAGTCAATATTTTCAAAATCAAAATAAAAAGTCAATATTTTCAAAACCCGTTTTTGTTTTTTCGTGCATATGTCAACTCTGTGTAACCCAAATTTCAGCTCTTCTTTTGACCCTTCAGTATCTTCCAAAAATCTTGGAATTCGATTTTTTTTTTACTTTTTGCTTCCGAATGGAAGCCTTGTATTTGACGGATTTTTTGATTCGCTAATTTTGATCGGAAATGAGGTAGAAAGTCATGAAACGTGGAGAAATGATGTTTTTACGTCATGTCTGTATGTATGTGTGTGGCGACTTGGATTTTGGGTTAACAATTTTTCGAAAATTCAACATTTATTTATTCGATTTCACCGTATACCTTTCGGTTTTTACGATTTCTTATTTCTTCATCCCGTTTTATTCCGCATATTTTGTTTTTCCCAAATGCTCTTTCTAGTTTTTCCAAATGATGTTTCTTCCCTGAGGTGTTCCCGCGCGGTCACCCATCCATCTAGTGGCCTCGCTCAGCGCTGCGTAGCTTCCCAAAGCTAAGCCTGCCCACCACCGCAGTGTGCTAGCCCCGTAGGGCTCGAAAATTCAACATAAATACGGTGAAATCGGTAGATAGAAATCTGAAATTTTGGCTACTGATAGCTATGAATGAACTCTATTTTGGCGCGCTGATTCAGCCCAATCGGCTCAGTAGTTCCTGGGATATATCAAGTTGTTGAAACTTAGTTTTTCAGCAATATCTCGGAAACTACTGCACCGATTTCAATTTTTTTTCCAAATACTCGGCTTGATGACCTCTATCCAGGCCAATCAAAACTTATATGACGATCATAGAAAGTTTCAGAGATATTGTCGTTTTTCCGTTTTTTCCTCATAAATCTTGTTCGCATAACTTCAGAAAAAATTGGGTTAGCGAGTTGAAATTTGGTACGGTGCTATTACGGTGGTACTAGCTCTTATAATAATAAAGGTTGATATTTTAGATGGGCGCAATCGGCCCAGCGGTTCCTGAGATTTTCGACCTTTTGTGTAAATATATTTTGTCAAATATCTCGCAAACTCCTTGACAGATTTGAATTTTTTTTTTCAAAATACTCGTCTTGACGGCCACTATCTAGATCAATTAAAATATATATACCCGTCCATACAAAGTTACCGAGATATCGCCGTTTTTCTGTTTTTTTTTCTTTTTATTCTTCTACGCACGATATCGTGAGCAAAAACGAAGATAACAAGCTGAAATTTGGTATGATTATATCTCTCATAATATTAAAGGTCCGTATTTTGAATGGGCGCAATCGGCCCAGTGGATTGAAAGATATTAATTTTTTTGTATAAATCCGTTTTATCAGACGGTTAAATATAATTTTTTTTATAAAATGATTTTATGCGTGGTAGAAAACATTGATGGTTTTTCATTCGATTTTCTTCTCGTCTTTTATGAAGAAAATGAATTGTTTAAAGACACTTTCGAAAAACTGTCCAGGATATCTAAAATCTTTGAAAAAATGTAAAAAAAGTTGTAATATCTCAGGAACTATTGGACCGATCGGGATAAAACAACGCACCAAAGTCATACATACAGTCAAGACCCCAAAGACATCATTTCTTCACGTTTCATTTTCACCTACAACGCATATTATAAACTTATACAAACGTCTTTATGATACCCCGAGATTTTCAAATTTCGCCGCGGTCTCCTCTTAATGGTATAGAACGGAAAATATTTTCAGACATCATCCATTCAACTTCATTGAAACTGCTTATCAAATATTCCAACTGAATTCATGAATCCAACGAATCTACACTGATAGAAAGATGGAAGGATTTAGTTGATGTTAACGAGGCTTCTTTACTATTAATACCATTCGTTAACTATGAACGAATGGTGTTAATATTTAAAAAGCCTCATTAATAGCAACCAAATCCTTCTAGCAGTGCTTATCCAAATTTACATAATTTTCAATATCCATTAGCAACGACGTCAATGAAAATTAATCAAGTATGAGATTGAAGGATGTAGAGACTTATTACTCACGCACATGGATTGCACCTACGTCTTTATCGATCCCAATGGCTGAACGAAATTCCGATACGGGGTGAGTACAGAACGTGAACATGAACAAAGGGTTGGGTAATTTTATTCACATAATTTCACGATACATTACAAATAATTCATCAAAATGGAATCCAAAAATAGTAAAAACACATTGATTCAATAAAAATTATCATTTCTCGAATTTCAAAACTCAATCAGTGGTCGATGATGACGTGTCACTATGAGATGCACTGGAATCAGAGTAATCAGTGCTTGAGGATCCGCTGACAGTGTACTCAGTCCAATAATCGGAAGACGTACCAGTGCAAGAAGAACAACTACATTCCGTGGAGTGCTCAGAGTCATCTGAGTTAGACGAACAGCTGCAGCATGATGAACAACTGCAGTCTGTGGAATGCTCAGAATCCCCTGTATCATCCGTCGAGGAATCTTCACTACTATCTAAAAAATGCACATTCCTCCATCATGTAGAACTCTCTCTTTAAGAGACATATGAGATTGTTCTCACATGTGTAGTTACAAAAAATATACGTTTTGATCCTTCTCGGGGAGAGTACGACAAAACGGTCGAGGTGGGCAAAACGGACCACTGACAGAAAATTGATAATTTTTGTTTGTTTTTGTCCGAATGGAAGCAAAAACAAAAATTCAAAGTCATTTGTGGTTTGAGGTGATTAGCGAATCTGATCAAATTACGGTTTAACGACACTGCTTGTCTATAAAACCCCTGTGACGGTTACGATCCAAGAAACTCACTTTTAATTCAACACATTCAGGGTTTCTGATTTGAAGAAAAGAAAAAAAAACAAAAATTCCCAATTTCTGTCAGTGGTCCAGTTTGCCCTCTCTGTCCGTTTTGCCTTACTCTCCCCTACGCCCATTCAATATGACAGGGAATTACAAAGAACCGAAAAAACCGATTTTTCCCTTTGAAAGTCTACAAAGTGAGTGAAATTGATCGGATCGTCTTGCAAATGATACACAATGTTCAGAACACTGAAATAAACAAAGTTACGGACGGAAATTTTAATCCGATGATTCTTACATTCTAGATCATCCGGAAATCAGAACAATTATCCGATTTAAATTATCCGATTCCGTCCGTAGATTTGTTTATTCCAGTGTTCTGAACATTGTATATCAATTTCAAGACGATCGGATTGTTTTTACTCACTTTGTAAACTTTCAAAGGGCAAAATTTGCTTCCGAATGAAAGCTGTGTAATCGTTCAAATTCAAGTTTTGAATTTTTTGTGTTATATCGACCCAGTATGATCTACAAAGTCCGAAAATGCAATTTTTAGACCCTATCCGTACGTGTGTGTATGTATGTGACGAAGTTTTTCTTCAATTGTTCGCCAATGAATGGATGGAATTGAATCTTTTTTTTTTTAATGTAGGTATTTTTGAGCGTGATGAATCGCCATTAATTAAAATTTACTTGATCGATTAGTTTTTTCAATTATGTGAATTTTTTCCAAATCGGTTGTTCCACGATAACTAAAGAAAAATATTCTGAATTGATTGAATTATGGCTTAAAAAATTTTTTTGGATGTCCGTTCGATCGAATTCGAAGATGAAGGCGATATAGCAATATAGTATATTGTGTCACTGGTGCGTAAAATCCCACTTTTTCACACGCACGTGTAACAGATCCTATTTTTTGTGGTACCTGCCGAGTTCACTGTTCGGAACGGTAGTGGGGGTAATGTGGTTGTTTTTATGCACGAGTGTGTAAAGTGAATTTCAAGTGTGTAAAGCGAAGTTATTACTATTAATTGCTGTTATTTTGAGAATTCACTTTACGCACGCTCGTGAACTTTACGCAAGCCGTGCGGAATACAACCGCTTTACACACACGAAACCGTTCCGAAAGGTGCATTTTTGAGGCAGGTATCAAAAAAATCATTATTTTGATTTATTTGAAAATTTGCAAAAATTTTATTTTTTGAAAATCATAATTCCGGGGATGTCTGTGAATATCATGCTCCAAATGAATTCAATCATAGGTTAAAATATTTGGTTTAATGCCATTAAGTCGAAGTTGAATTTCCCTGAAAGTGACCATTCCGATGATTTCTTCACATGTGATGTTTCAAATTCATTCGAGTATGTATAAATAAAACTCGTCTATTAACAAAGAATTGTACACGATAGAAGAAAATTATTAGCAAAATTAACTATACTATATGCAATACAAGAGCAATTTCCCACTTGTTTCGATTTTTTCAAATTCGCCGCCATTTTAGATGGGCGTAAGAGGGTCAAAACATTTTTTTTAGTGACTACACATGTGCGAAAAATCTCACGGAAGTCATGTTTTTATTCAGGACTTTCAAATTTCAGTAGTATCCCCCCTTAAGATGTCCCTTGTTCAAAGTGTTGGAAAAATGTATTACCATCGAGATATCCCATTTTCTTGGCAGTGCTGACAAAGCGTGCAGCAAGTGTCTCGAAAGCTTTAGCCACTTTTTTCTCCTTTCTTTGACGTCGATGGTCTTTTTTGCTTGAATTCCTCTGCTTAGATGCCCCTACAGCGTTGACTTGAAGCTTGGCTGAAAGGGGGCGTAAAAAATGAATATCATTTTGATAATAAGTCAATGAATTTGTTACCTTCAGGCGCTTCCTTTGAGGGTTGCTGGTGTGGTGGAAGATACCCCAAGGAACATTCATCATTTTTTTTCAATCCTCCTTTCATCACGTCTAGATTCCCTGAGGTCGATTGGAGATTACCATTGTCAGCAAGCTCCTGCTTACTTCCTGGTTTATTATTGGATATGCCACGTTCATTGACGGTTGATTTCTCATACTTGTTCATGTCAATAGCACTCAAAATCCTCGTAGATGTGGCTGGAGGGGTTCCTCGGCCTTCGAGTTTCACAGATACTGATGCAATAGGAGACTGAGGCGATGGCTTCTCGCGTTTAACCAATGCAACTGCTGGTGAATCAACTTTGGAATTAACAATTCCCTCGGGCTTTGCTGGGACTCTCGTATTTTCCACTGGTATTGTTTCATTGTTGCTCGATGGAGAAGACACCTCTGTTTTATTGATTTTCCATGAAACAGTTTTACCCTTCGTCAATTCGAATTCTCCAGTCTTATTGCGAATATGCTTTCTCGTTGATTTCTTCTCGGTTTTGATAGTCCCAGGATTATTTTTGGTTATTTTGGTCGTGGTTGGAATGGAAATATTATCACGTACGGCGATTGACCTTGGGGTTGGTTTTACCGAAGCTGCTGGTGTTTGGTTATCGATCGTCGACGACTCTTTGAGGATCATCATTTTCGTCGAAGACTCATTATTTGAGTCGATACTGATGATGGATTTTTTCCTTGACGATTTTCCACCATCTTTAATTTTGGGGAATGAATCAGCACTTGTTGATGGAACGTCAGCTTGTTTCTGATATTTTTTCTCGGAGGAAAAATGCTGTGGTTTTTTCTTTGTGACTTTTGCGGGGACGCTGGAATTTTGTGCTTGATTTATGGTTTTTCGTTTTTCCACAGTATTATTGTCTGCCTTACTTGAAGCTCTGGATTTCTTTCTGCTCACTGGTTTTTTCCTCTCCCTGTCATCACGGGTCTTACTCATTTCCTTTTCTTTATAATTCTTCTTTGTGACTGCAATATTCTCATCTACTCCGTTTGCCCTTACCAAAGCCCTCCGTTTCCTTAGAGGACGTTTCTCATCAATTGTCAATTTCTCAAAAGCTTCTCGTAACTGTCCCATTCTCGGGGAGTCCTGCTCCTCGGATGGTTTGGAATGAACGTTAATATTCTCTTTATTGGATTCTGGATTGTCCTTGATGTTGACGGATGATTGCCTTTTTACATTCAGTAATCGTGGCATTTTTAAGCTTTATATTGATTGCGTTAATTATAAATCACGAAAAAATAGCGCAACACGAGTGTACTGAGCAAAAGTGAGAATAAATTGGATACGCCGCTAATTCAATTATCGGTTTTTATTCCAAATGACGGCAGTGACTACTGCCAACTGCCGAGCTCCAGGCAACGATTGATGTCGATTTATGGGTTCGGTGTATATTTGCGATGAAAATAGTGCGGAAAAGGACGGAGATACTCATTTTCGTGGAAATGGGAATTCAAGGGAATTAAAGGCATATTTACAAGTGACAATATTTCATATGATTGAACAGTGTTATTGAACGACTTTATTTTTTTTTTCAGTGAGGATATGTCACATTTTTTTTACCAATAACTTTATACGGAACTGAAATATTGAAGTCATGAATATACATCTTGCTTCAATTAAGGGGGACCCAGGTGAAACTTGAAAGTCTTCGGTTGATGAAAATAACTAACGAGCGACTTTTCATATATCATAGGGTACCTAAAAAACGAAGAAAAATTTCGTACCCAACCCTTTTCCCCTTGTATTCTCGTGTTTTTGTATTTACGTTTTTCGTGTTTTTGGCTTTGAAATGCTCCTCGCACCACAATTTTCATCCGATTTAAACTTTTCTTTTTTCAAAATGTTCGTTAGATTCTATAGAATACAACTAGGTATTTTTTTCGATTATCTTAATTAGATCATGGAAAAGATCACCTTCTTCGGTTTACTCGTTTTTTCACTTTTTGCACGCCGTATTAAAAATTATTACTCTGAGCAGTTGAACATCAAAACTTTTCTCTTGAAAATGACTTTTATATACTATTTTGGACTTCAACTACTCTGAATAATAATTTTTGTGATACCTGCCTGAAAAGTACACTTTTCGAAACGGTTTAGTCGGCGTAAAGCGGTTGTTTTCCGCACGGCGTGCATAAGGTTCACGAGCGTGCATAAAGTGAGTTGAACTTTACGTGCACGGGCACAAAAACAACAACTTTACCCCCACTACGATCCCGAACCGTGAACTCGGCAGGTATCCCAAAAAATAGGATGCGTTTCACGTGCGTGCGAAAAAGTGGAACTTTACGCGCTAGTAACAGAATATACTAATCTTATACGGTATGAATAGTACATTAGAGTACAAGGGCACAAATTTCGTTTTCAACGAATGTGCAGTTTACAGGCCGAGCCGAAGGCGAGGTCTGCAAATTACACATTCGTTGAAAACGAAATTTATTACCGAGTGCTCTATAATATTTTATGTCAAGTCGTGCAGAAGTCGAGTTTTGAGCAGGTTGCGCGAAGAGCAGTGTGCGATAAACTCGACTTATTGCACGGCGCGACATAAATTGTATTTTATGTTACTAGTGCGTGAAGATCCACTTTTTCGCACATACGTGTAACAGATCCTATTTTTTGTGGTACCTGCCGAGTTCCCTGTACGAAATGGTAGTGGGGGTAAAGTGGTTGTTTTTGTGCACAAGTACGTAAAGTTTAACAGTGTTCGTAAGGTGAATTTACTTTACGCACGCCGTGTGGAAAAAAATCGCTTTAGGCACACTAGACCGTTTCGAACAGTGCACTTTTCGGGCAGGTATCACAAAATAACATATTTCGATACGTTTTCGTAAAAGTGTTTTTTTAACCCATAGGAGATGTGTAGCGCTCGCCGAAGGCGAGGGTTAAAACAAGTAAAACAAGCGAGTAAACCGAAAAAATTTAATTTTTGACCGATCTAATTTTATCAATTAACATAATTGAAAAAAAACCGAGTCTTATTCCATGGAATCTAACGAACATTTTGAAAATAAAGTTTGAACCGGATAAACATTACGGCACGGGGAGCATTTCAAAGTCAAGAACACGAAAAACGACGTTTTCGCCTGATGTTCAGAGTAAAATGAGTTGGATACGAAATTTTTCTCAGTTTTTTTAAGTATCCGATGATATATCAAAAGATGTTCAATAGTTATTTCCATCAACCGAACACTTTCAAATTTCACTGGGGTCCGTCAACAATTTGCAAATACTTTATTCAAAGCTTGATATTCTTAATTGAAGAATAAATATTCGTGAATTTAAAATTCCTTATTTCTTGATAGTGATACGAACATCGTTCAATTCAAGTATAACATGCTTCAGCTAGAAATACACTTCACTCAGTGAATGGATGAATTAATTGCTATGTAAATGCCATTTTCCCCATAATATAATTCCAGCGCTGAATACAATTCCACTGGCAAGTGCCGTTATATATTTGAATTCATGGTTATATACCACTGTAATTACTACATTATTCATTACGTTTTAAGAGAGTAGAAATATTTATATTGAATGTACATTTTAATTGGATTTTAAGTTTTCAAGGTGGTCCTGGTTTTTTCGCTCATTAGATTCATTGTATAATTTGATATCTTCTGCGATGCAATTCGAATTGAATAAATTTTCAGAGGCCAATTCTTCTTCCATCATCTTCTGTCCTGCAGTTTTCGATGTGTCTTTTGGACGCGATTGCTCATTAGCATCATCACTGGATAGATATGAACTATCTGACGAAGAATATGACGACTTATACTCGTGGGAGGAGCTGGAATCACTCGGAATCGGTGATGGCACTTGACTGAAGAGTGTAGAGTTACATGAACCATAACTTGATTCACATGATGTCAATGAACATGAAGTTGACTTCGATGAGTTTGTTGGTGGAGTATCAGAATCGCTACTCGCTGGAGAAAGAAGGAGCAGAATGAATATAAATAGAAACATTTGTCTGTGATATTTTTATACACTAATGACAGATTTTGTCTTGCGATTTTCCCGATAATTACACATAAATCATTGGCTTCTCCACTTTGAAGATCGTTCAATATCGAACTGTAAATGGCATTGTCCGGAAACTGAATTTGATTTAAGGGGAGAAAGTAACAATGGAATTGCAAATCTCTCTGAAAATTCCAGCAAAGCCCCAATTTTTTAGTGGTGGAAAGACGGAAATTCCACAATTTACATGAATTTCCTAGTGGAAATTATTATTCACTGACCAATTCCCTTGAATTTTCAGGGAATTTCTTTAAATTTCTTGGAATTCCAGGAATTTTTGAAGGAATTCCGTGAAAATTTAAACCAATCTGGAATTCAACGAGTGGTTTCTCTGATTTTTCTTAATTTTTCATCAATTTTCTCGGAATAATGAAACTGAAATTTACATTTGCCAGAAATTTTGTCATGAAATTCTTAATTTTCAATTACAAATTCAATAGTTATATCAAAAATTAAAGGGGATGATATTTCCCTGAGTGATTTCCCCAATTATTGGCCGGAGTTTATACTTGGAAGTTTTTTATTTTGTTGAATTATTTCATAAGGTTTGGCCATTAAACGACTATTTTTTTTAACTTTATTATGCACAACATTTTCTTTTTTTGAGCTTTTAACGCATTTTTGTGTTCCTAGAGCGATAAACAGTTCCCATTTTTCGTAGGTATTTCACACAGAAATTTCACGTTCATTTGATTGGACGTAGTTTCTACCCTCTTGCGGATACCTTACGACAGATTTTTTTTTAGTTTTTCGTGAAAAAGACTTTTTCCATGCACAATATTAAAAAATCAAGTTGATTTCTGAATTTTCGTCGCGTCTTTTTCTTTCTTCATGAAAAAGATTGTTTTCTCCCTCAAAAGTTTTCATTTACAAAAAAAATGTGTGATTTTCTATAGCTCTCGACTGACTGAATGCAGAAAAATTGAAGAAAAGGGCCGAATGGATCCCCAAATTGATATCCTTATATTTTTCGTGGAAGAAGTGTTTCCACACCCTGCAATTGGGTGTGGGAAAATAGATGAATGATAAAATTTTTGAGTTCGTTGAGATTCCGGAACTGTTCTTATGACGTGAGCGAAGTAATAGTACATTCGATAGAAAGAACCGAAAATCTCTGCCGTAAATACATATGGAGAAAATTTTTAAAAACTCAAAAATTTTAAAACGTTTTTTTTTTGTATGTAAGGAAGTTGCAAATTTTTCTTACGAATTGTTGAATGCTGCAGAAACCACATGAAAAGGCTCAACAGAATTGAAATTTAAGATACAAAACCGAGCCAATCACCGACGAAATTAGACCATTAACTGAAAATGAAGATAAAAATTACTTCAAAAATATTCCTTCTAAACTTCTAACTCTAACTCCACTCTAAATTCTAACTCTTCTTCCATTTTTTCTGGGCCGTAACAGTCAAATTTAGCGGTCAGTTCATGCGACAAGATGTAATCTGAAAATTCTCATGACGTTTCTGATAAACAAAAATTACCTTTATCATCATCAACACTCTTGAAGCTGCTGTGTTGATTACCGCTAGCCTTCCTATCTTTCTTCCTCATATAAACTTTCCTTCTCATTTCCTCATGTTCCCCCGATGATACCGTGGACGACTGCGCTTGAGAGTACTCTACAAAATCTGACGACTCTGACAGCGACGAAGTAGAAACAGACGACATATTGGTGTCTGTATTCCTGGAGAAATTCACATGCAAAATTGACAGCCTCTCAGCTTAAAAATTCATCAAGAAGCGACGTTGGAGTATGACTCGGGAACGGAATATTCCCGAGAACTCGGTTTATTTTTCAGCACACAATGAATCAAGACGAACAAGTTATTTCTTTTCCATGCCCCTCTCACCTGGAAATTCGTTAGCGTCGACGAGTGTAGAGACTACAGTAGTTCACCTACCTCTCGGATTTCATCATTCCTTCGCTTCAGATACATAAACGCATATACGAATGCACTTGTGGCTTTCTTTTCTCATGAATCCGTACGTGTCTTTCATAGAAGAAAATTACGAAAGTGAAATGGGGTACAAAAGATTTCGGGCGGAAATTTTATTGAGACTGAATAACCCAGTACGTGTTTACACAGTAAGTATACATTGGTTTCCCGGTCCTCACCCCTCGCTAATGTCACTAATTTTATTTCTCTCTCGCTTGCCAGCGAAATCGCAAGAAACGTAGATAAAAATTACTAGCCACTCTTCCAGAGAAGCTCCATCATTGGATAGACCGAATTTTTATTCTTATCTTGAGGCGCTACTTCGAATGATTTTCAGATTTAGACGGAATTGAAAATTAAATTTCGGTTATTCTAGTTATCACGAGAATTATTCATAAACGTCCCGATTCGGGAGACGCTCTTTGGCGAACTACCGTGATATTTCAATCGATAAACAGGAATTTAATTCATCGACTGAATTCCAGGAACGACGATGCTATTTTCTTACCTCAAACTCCCAGTACGGGAAGTTGAATGTGATCATTTCCACTACAGAAAATTGCATTTGGCAAAGGTTTCATCTTTACTTACCGGTACTTTGAATTTAATGGGATTCAATATCCAATGGATGAAGCCCTTCTATATTCCCTCCGATTCGCGAAATTCCAAGACTATTAATAATTCATAAGACATTCTAATTTAAGCAGAGGATTCAATCAAATTGGTGATCTCATGGTATCCATCGAGAGGCACTGACTTCAGAATCGAAATAGAATACAGCGTTGAGTATGATTTTATCCTGTCGATAAGATCCATGAAGGAAGCGTTACCCACGATGAAAAAAATACGCGCCAGTACAACGCCAATTCCTCGCGACGGTCCGGTACGTGTTTCGTTTATTCAATTCGTGTCTCACGAAATGCATTTTAAAGAATTCCAGAACGTCCACTAAATCTCTTCGCGCATTATTATCTTCAAGCGGAGACTACTATGAGTTTTTGATAGGATCAATCATTGTGAGGATTTTTATACATAATGAACATCTTTATATTTTATTTATGCAAAAATATGATTGAGTAGAGTACAAATTTTTTTTTCTGAGTGGAGTGGAAATTTTTTGAAAGTTCATGGAAGATATTATAGTACATCTCATGAGAGTGACATTGAATGGGATTTAGGGAAAAAATGGTTATAGAATTTCAAGTTTTAAGTAGAATTCAGGGAAATCCATGAGTTTTCAGTGGGAGTGAGATGAGAAATTCACAACATGATTGAATTTTCACTGGAACATGAATATTCAGAATCAAAATGACATGAATTTTCAATTTTTCCCTGAATTTTCGTAATTTTTCGGAATTTTCACAGAATAATTGAACTGAAAAATCAAATATTTTATTGACTTCCAGGTCATTTGAACAAAAAATCAATGCAATATTTGATCTTTCAGTAACAAGATTTCCTGAAATTTCAGTGGAACTTGCACACGATAAAAATTTCCAAAATTTGGCACGGAAAATTCAGACGAAAATTTTCAACAGTATAACATTTCCACTAAAATTTCAAGGAATTTTTTATGAATTCATAATTTCACGGAAAATCAGTGGGAATGGTAAATTTCAGTTTAATGACTCCTGGAAAATTAATGAAAAATTCGGAAAATTCAAGGAAATTGGGCAGTGAATATCCATTTTCGCATAAAAATTTACGTAAATTGTGAAATTTTCGACTTCCTGCCGCTAAAAAAATGGGAATTGAATTTTCAGAGAAACTTGAAATTTCATTGATGTTTTTCCCTTAAATTCAATTCAAGGTTATTTCCCGGAAAATGCAGCCAAATTTTTTTAACTATGTAGGCGGTGCATGTACCACCTAGTTAAGGAATAATTGGTTTTTACGCCCAAAATCCTAACTTTGAATAAAACAGACTATTCTTAACCCTCCTTTTACCATTCATCATGATTTTCTCCAATTATTTCTGGACGGTAACGAACGATAATCTTTGTACGAGTTGTCCCTTTCCGTACAGAATCACAATTTTCATTCCACTTTTTAATTTTCAATTTTGGCTCTCCATTGATAGATTTGATCGATAGACTTGAATATTCTACTTGTTAATCGACTTGTCATCTGCCAATACCACAAGATACCGTCAAAACCCATTCCATTGAAAATTACAATTGAATCTCCATGAATGTCGCTTCTGAGATACTATCGAAATTCGTTAAAAGAATATTGAGATCCGCAGAACCGTTGAAATTAATGGATCGAGGAGTTTCACTGAGTTGAGCGCTTTCGCAATGTTTTGCGTCACGCTGAGACTCAGCGCTGTGAGATCTTCCAGGTAATACTTCAATATTCCTTATTCTGTCAACTTATCCGTTATAAAGACGTCATTGGGTTATTTGTTTAAACCGCAATTGTGGGGACGTGAGCTATTGTTTTCTCTGAGTGTCTGGAACAGATGTTGATGTTATTGTCACTATTAAAAGGTTCTATGATAGCAATGAGGAGAGAAAATTGGTAATTCAATATCCCTTTATCTTTCATTACCCATAAACACGTAAAATCGATTACTGTATTTATTAATGGAGTTATAGTGCATCTTCCCGGGAGTAGCAATAAGTGCAATAATGGTGTATGCATACGGATTAGCGACTCCCCATATCCAAGAGTCCTTGACGACTGACCTTGAAAATAATGCAGGCTCGCGGTACGTTCTACAGTTTCTACTTCCATTCACAGTATAACCGTCGCATAACTATACACTGTTAGAAATTTCTTGACATTTTAGTCACAGCGTCATCTGAATTTTCGATGTTGTGAGTTTCAATTCAATTTCAAATGAAAACGTTCACAACATTTCTCATTCATCTCGAAAATTCAAGAAAATTGGGGTTTTCCTGTTAAACAATCATTGATTTTTCAATGAAAGCTTGAATTTCCAAAATCATTGTGAAAATTGAACAATACAGACAATTCAATTTTCAATAGATTGACAATTCAGAAAAGTTGTTGCCTGAATTTTCAAAATTTTCAATGGTGTTCATTGCCGTATGGACGTGAAAACCGAAAATTACTTGAATATTAGAAATTCAGTGATTTGTCAATGAAGAAATATACAGAAATTTCATGTAACTTTAAAAATATAGAGATGTGTGTAATAACATTGACCGGTCAAATGAGCGTCAATGACCACCGTAATGATCGGTAATTACCGCGCCGAGAATGTGACTATGTGCTCAGAAAAAAAATGACGATTCGCAATACGCATGAAATGACCATTGAAATTTTAACCGTCAATTTCCATTTATGTAGATGACCCTCAATTTTAGCTCCGTCAAGCCGGGCAGCCAAGGTGCTCGAATCGACTCGGTCAATACCTCGAAATTACATGCTTTTTATAAGCTTTTTTTCTGTGCAAACCAAAAATTTTCTGCTCAAATATTTTGGGCATAAAAACGATTTTTCGGATTTGGGCGTTAAGCTAGGCGGCCAAGTCATCAGAATTGCCTCGAAAACCACGCTGAGATATCTTTTGATTTATAAGCTAATTTCCTGTTGAGAAAATCATGAAAATCCCCATTGTTCTGGGAAATCCCATATGGGCTGGAAATTATCTTATAAATCAGAAGATACTTCAGGCTGATTTCCTAGCCCATTTTGACAAATTGAGCGATTAAGTTTGATTTTTGGCTCAAAATATTTAGCAGAAAATTTTTGGTTTGCACAGAAAAAAAGCTTATAAAAAGCATGTAATTTCGAGCTATTGACCGAGTCGATCCGAGCACCTTGGCTGCCTGGCTTGACAGAGCTCTCAATTTTCCAGTTCTAGTCCAGCGATTTCTATACTGTTGAAAATTTTTAGCTGAACTTGCCAATCCACTGTTCGGAAATTTCAATCACATTTACGTTCCATTGAAATTTCAAGGAATTTCGTCATTAAAAATTCTGAATTTTGGGGAAAAATCAATGAGAACTGTAAATTTTAGTTCAATTATTCCCTGAAATTTTAAATTTCGTAACTTTTCCCTCCTTAAATTGCATTCAGTAAACAACCCGGAAAATTACTGTTCAACCGCCCATTGTCAATTTGCAACTATATTTATAGACGATTTTTAGTCAGTTCGGCTCGTGTCTGACACATCTTGAATGCGATGGTCATTTTGCATACAAAATTAGGTCAGGGTCAGAAAACGATCAGAAACCGGTCATTTACGTCTGACCTGACCGAAAAGAAAAATCACGGTCATTCTTTATCTCCACGCATAACACAATATTTTCTTAACATCAATATACAACTCGTCACTTGGCTGAAAAGGAGTCCGTATATTATTGTACCAACCGAAGGAGGTAAGGAATGAAATGAAAGGATAAAAATCGCTGCTTGAGGGCAACGTAAGTTGCCAACGTCACAAAAACAAGAGTCCATGCTTGAATGGATAATCATAACATAATATACAACTCGTTAGTTCGCTGAAAAGGAGTCAAACCGAAGGAGGCAAGGAATGAAATGAAAGGATAAAAAAATAGGTGCCTGGGGGCAACATAAGTTGTTGAAGTCACAAAAATAAGAGTCGATTCGTGCCGAGCAACCAGTTCAGGAATACGTCGAATCAGTGTTGACCGTGGGCCAGTATACACAGCAGATTCATCTTTAGAATTGTGGGGATTAGTCGAACGGAATACTTAGAACAACAATGTTAGAGGTAAAGAAATATACCATGATTTCAAAGTGAACTCTAGTTAAACTGTTGTTTTTGCGGTGAAAAGTGGAATCGCGAGGGACTTGGGAATTTCTGTTTGAAGTCTCTAAGATTAAATTTTCAAGTGTAAACGAGTCAGGGGAAATTTTCTTCTCGCAGGTTCAGTTGTAAGTTTTTGTTAGCAGTGCCAAGTGCGCTTTCCGAAGGAGAAAATTGTGGAAATTTCATTTGTACAAGTGATCGATGAGTTTCTGTAGTTTATTGGCACTGGTCACCCATTACGATACAATATTCGTTGATAAAGTGGGGACATAAATAGGGTTTGCCAACATGTTCGGTACTGTGGGATTGCGTGATTAAGAGATGGAAACAGCAGAGACCGAATATAGTTTGACATTATTATTTTTTTTACAGCTGTTGACCTTGTTTTTTTGCTGTTACGGTGCGCTTGCTGCACCTACAATACTTCAGTCAAGACTACTTGTGGAAAATGCTGAGACACAAGTCGAAAGTTTTCTCCTTGGAGTTGAGAATCTTGGAGAAAAATCAATTCCAGTGGCCAGGATACATCCGGCAGTGCCCGTTTCTCCACCTGGTAACAGAAACCTCGCGGAGAGGATTCAAATTATCTCAGTCATGTTACCTGGAGTGAAAAATCTCGGAGAAAAAGCTATCCCAGAGGCTGTCATATTGAAGATGGCAGAGGGTCACCCCAAGAGTGAATACGAACATATTTGAATATTGATCGTCTCGATAATTATTCATTTCATTATGCCATGTCAATTATTCTCTTTATCATTTCTGTCAGTGAATATAATCTGCGGACTCGCTGAGGTAAACCCATAATTTTCCATTTCAAGCTCGCCAAGAGAGAGGACATCGGCGAATGATTTATCAAAGGACAAATCCCTCTTTGTGAACATTTGCTGTTATCCATGTTGAAAAATAAACTAAAAATATTCAATAATCCTCACGGAGTGATGTGTTTCTTCCCACTGCTCCAGGGTTTTTCAATTTTATAAAAGCAAATTTAGAGCCATCTACCGTAAGACCGATAGAAATTGAGAAAACCATGACCAACGACCGTAAGTAGAGAAATTCCTTCTAGTAAAAAGTTTCATCACCAGCAGGTAATCATACTCAAGTTTCCTCCTATGTCGACACAATTTCAGTTCTCCCCGTCGTATTCCTAGATGTCACTGTCACACACCCAGCAGTAGAAATCCGCGCGCGATCAGCCGCAAAGGAAATTACGAAAACCGCCGGTATTTGTACAAACAATTTACATTGTTGAATGATAAAATACATCCCCATAAACTGAATCCCCCGAAATTCATTCAATCACCGTGCATTTACGATGTGTGAATTTAATCAAATTCCATCCTACAACTGCAAGTGTGTCTACGGAACGTGTCTAACGGATAATCTGATGGGACTACTGAAACCCATGTGTACAGTAACGAGAGTAACTCACCAGACCAACTCATGGTTTGTTTGAGATAAAATAATCTCACGCTTTTGGATTGTTATCTCGGATAATTCATACGTTTTGATCCTAGTGAAAGCGTGCCCACGCGTGATTAAACGAAGCTGTTATTCCCGTCCACAGATGAATATGCAAACAACACATCGCATCTCCATATTTCTTTCCCCGAATTTGTCTCCCCCCCCCCACCCCTTTCCTCCCTATTTCCTGAATACAATCTCGAGTGATTAATTCACTGTGCAATATTCACAGTTTTAAAGACCCTGTAGTAGAATCCGCAGTACGCTTTCAACATCCTCTTTACTCGGTCGAGAGAATTATTTCAACTGGATGCAATTAAAGCAGTCGAACAATTATGCTTTATCGATCACCATTAATTAAAACGAATGGACGAAGACGAATCGGTTACATTTCTTCAATTAATCTCTCTAGCATTCCAGATTGAGAGGAGAATTTTTTCACTTGACGAGTTTAATCGAGAAATCTCCCGAGAATGACACAAAAAGACGAGAAAAAGAAAAAAAAAGACGAAGGGAGGAATTCTACTTTGCGGGCCAAGAGGCGAGAGACGGATTTAACTTCGTGTACCTCATTCGTGCGCTCTTCTACCAACACTTCCAACAAACTCCGTCAGTTAATCGAGTTAAACATCGAGATTTACTTAGAATTCAACCTAAATCAATTATCTCGCCGAGTTGATCTCATTTATGACATTTTTGCTAGCATCTCTCTTTCAAATCATTTAATTTTTTAATGAAATTGAAAAGGTCGGCAGATTTTAATTGCTCCTCGGATATTCTTTTTCCGATATTCCAATCAAATACAGGAAAGAAGAACAATTGGATCCGACTTGATCAACAGAGAAACGCTAGCTGTCAGTGGGTTTGTTCGACTGGTAAACAATTAATTCATAAACTCGAGAAAGCATTTCTGTATTTAGAGAGGTTTGGTCTCTGTCGTCACATTTCAACTTTGTGAAGCGTTGGTGGGTTAGAAGGAGATAGAGAGAGGAAGAGTGACAGACAGTGTAGGTACGGTACTGAATAAGTAGTCGACTCACTGGGTTGCGCCGGAGCAACAATGCTGGACTCCAAGGAACGCGTCTCAGTAATAATATAAACACAGCTGAGGAGGCTCTACAAAGGGCCAAGGAATGCATGGATTTACTAGATCCTTCCATCAAAGGAAGAGAGCTAACTAACCAGTTCAAAGGACGTTCAGCTCGGTTTTCTTCGTTCAACCATTTACAACTTTGATGTTGACCACAGTGCTATCCCCAGTTCTCGACGATTCTGGACCAATTCGAATTTCAGATTATACTAGCGTTCTAAGTCATCCGTGTTACACTGGATAAGGAAGTTTTGAGTATGGTTGAATGACTTTTGGTATTTCTGGGCATTAAATTCTCTTGACAATCTTCAATTTTTTTCAAACACTAGTGCCACCGCCACCGTTGATGGCAATCCTTTTATTAGACACTTTCTTCATTTTTCTTACAGTATAGCGCAACCCTGCACTGAGAGAAAAATTTTCCAATATGTAGACCATGGTTACTTGAGAGAAGTAAATTATTTTCAATGGTTTAAATTTCAGAATGTTTGCGGTTCACGGAACTCGAATGAATTCTCATTTATCACTATCGTTGCGCATTATATCATGAATATATTACATATCGAAATATTGTAACTACATAACAAAAAAATTATGAAAACAATAAATACTTGAAGATTGACGATTCTTCTACGCGATTTGAGTGAGTTCATTTGCGACAAAATCATACTTGAGTACAAGAATATTTTAAAACATGAGACCTTTCTCGGGTCATGTGAGTTGAGATGCCTGGGAGAATTAAAGAATTGAAGAAAAATTACTTGTCTCAAGAAAATATGTTTCAGATACTAGAAATTTTTTTTCTCAGTGTGGCCGCAGGCGGCCGGGGTGATGATGCCCTGTTTCCTGTCAGATTCGATATTCCTTTTCTCAATTTTTTAATGAAAGAAATTATTTCGACATGTATATTCATATTCTTTATTATCCCCGGGCTATTTTACTCGGTTAAACCTTAGATATTTTTAGGGTATAAATTGCATGAAAATCCGGAAGCTATATGCTATCGTTCGGCTTTCCGGACCCCCTAGTAAAAATTGTGAGATGCTCTGTGACATCGGCTGTTGCAGCGACGTTCATGCACGGAGTGCGCTGCGGTACTCCGCGGCTAGGTCGCTGCTGGAACCCTATGCAATACTGACGCGGTGCGCTCCCACTTTTTCATTTTATCGATAATAATAACCATCAATTAATTGCGAGTGATTATTATTCACTAACAAATCGTTAATCCTTCAATAATTGATTTGAATTAATACGCATAATCTAAAGTTTGTGAATTCTTAATTGATGGGATTCGAGGTTACGGCGGACACTGTTAGGTCCATCTCGCATAAACCCCGCGCAGCTCTGTCTCAGCTACCCTACTGAGTACCTTTGTGTGGTACTTCGCCGCGGAAGGCAATGTCGCGTGATAACTTATGCCGCGACGTTTCTGCGCAATGAAATTTCTACTAGGACCCCTATATGAGGGAAGCAAATAAATAATTATCAATGCACAAATTAAAAAATTCGGAGCTAGGCGGACTCGAACTCAAGTGGGGTATGATCCCACATCTCCGGTTTGCCGGACTGATTCTCTGCCAATTGAGCTACCGAGGCCTCCTTCAATTAAAAAAAAATTTCATTCTTTCGTATACCCTTTCAGGTCTTTACGATTTGTTCCCTTCCCATTCCCCAATCCCCTGTACCGCATTCGTGGAAGGACAATGGAAAACCTCACTTCAGCTGTTAAATTTTCATGTTAAAATAAATGATTTGATCATGGTCAAATTCCTATGCTCACTGAAAAAGATTTTAATCATAACTAGAATTACATTCCTTCTGGAATACACTTTAGAGTGTAAATTTCTGGAATTCAATAGTTGTTGATACCCGGGTAAAAGTGCGTGTCCACATTGTTGTAAATTTTTAGTTAGTTCATATGGTAATTCAATTAATCTGTTATTCATCTCATCAATATAATATAATATCTTTCTGTGCTTAGAATATTGTCATCTCGTGTTTTTAGCACCAAATTAAAAATTAAAACTTAATTTGGAATATTGAATCACAGCTTCTTTTTATTCGTATCAGATATTTTGTATTTGGATATTAATATTATTTGTTCAAAGTGAAAAAATCGATCATCATTTTCACTATATTGCAGTCAGAATCTCCGATCTTTAACGTAAAAAATATGAGATAATTTAATAACTCTAGCTCTTAATTCTGACCAACTTTTTTCGAAGAAAGCCTTAGTAAACGCAATATGAAGAAAGTAGAATTATTTTATTTTCCTCTCACTATTCAATTGTCTTTTGCTTTTTAGAAAAAAAATTACTTTTGCCAAGTAAATTTGCTAACTAAAAGAAAATACACACATTTCAAATGGAAATATTTATATACATTTATTTGTGGCAAGTAAATTTACTTGGCAGAAGTAATTTTTTTTCTCAGTGTAGTGAAAATCCGACGCAAGGAGATTGTACTCATGAAAATCGCCTTACTTTTTCCATTCGTTCGAGATATTCACCATGTTCGAGTTTTCATGTTTGAATCGAGTTATCATCCGCGCTTTTTAAAATAAGGCTGTTCGTACCGATTCGGTGCGATTCTGACACATCAATTATGATTGGATGAAAGAATATTACCGAATTGACTAAAACAAGATTCCACTTACAAGATTCCACTTATTAGATTGAAACACCAGGTTGGCTCGCGTGTCATAGAGGAATAATTAAAATATTGATAGATCTATTTCCGTCATGGGAAGAACAGTAATGTCGTGTGACATACGAAGATATTCATGATTTGAATAAGTCAATATTTTCATCGTGAAAATGTCAACAGGAGTTTGATGGTCGGGGAAACGTCTCAGAAACTCAATATGTAACATGAGTGTAACGTCTGTGGATAAGTCTTTTGCCTACTGGAGCAGGTCTCATCGATCACATTGTCTTGTTTCAAGAGTTGTAGTGTAGCAGTGGATCACTGATTTTTCTGCAAAGTAGAGTGCAAAAGGAATTCAATCTAATGTGTTGGTATACTTTCTAGGTACCCCTTCACTATATGGTTGTATTCGCCAATTATTGGCATGATTTTGTACCTTCAAAATTTAAATGTTTTCGAGGCTTCTCATATGGTTTTTCCCTATCATTGCAAAGAGATAAAGAATTTTGTTTCAACTTCTTTCAGTTGTGTTACACTTACTACAAGAATTTTCATATTTTCTGAGTTCATGACGAAATTTTTTGTCGGCAGGGGTAAAATAATATGTTTCGTCATTAGGCCGAAAAAAACTTTTCTGGCGAATATGAGGTTTGCAGCACGAGCCGAAGGCGAGGGTGCGCGCAAAGAAAAAAATTCCAATATAAAAAAGAATAAAATAGATATCCATATTTC